CATCAAGCTCCTCCTGCAGCCCGTCAATTTCCTCCTTGAATCCCTGCAGAAAAATTATATATATTAAATTAAAATGATATGCTTCATTACTTTCTAACGGCTGGTTCATTCAGCGATTTTGATATTTTCAGTTCACCTCCACAAATTCCTGCTGCTGCTTGACAACAGAAGGGTCGACTCCGGGCTCCTCCAGCTCCCTCAGCAGGTCCTGGCTGTCTTTAATGGTGACAATGAGGGCACAGTGATCGCACCAGAACTTGTCTGCCAGGTCCATCACATCCAGCAACTTTGCCTCGCGCTCTTCCAACAAGGCCTGGATGTCATTCCACAGGAAAACCATGTGGTCCAGTTTGTCTTGCACAGCTGGAATGGAACGAAAAAGTCACTTTGCACCTTCACAGTGACATACATAGGAGGATTAATGTATAAAGCCATGCTATACTACAAGACAAAAAACTAAAAGGAATCGTAGGAATAAAAAGTATTCCAGACCTTTGGCAGATATGTCCTTATCTGCGCCTTCAGATCGGGCGATCATCTCTTCACCTCGCTGTTTCAGTGTCTCATAAGAGGGCTGCAGTTTCTCCAGATCCACAGACATGGCCTTGTTTTCAAGGATCTGCTCCTTGATTTTGTCCACCTCCACCGAGATGGATGGAGGCTGGCGCAGGCGTTCAGCGATACGTTCCAAAGACTCCAGCATGGGTTCGATTTTATCATGGAACTAAAAAAGCAGAATGAAAATACTTAATTTTTAAAGCGGTGAATCAGTAAAATGCCTGATTTGTGGGAAAAATAACTAGGCATTTCATTTCAATCCATTTCACCTGTGTGGATTTGGAGATGGCTTCATCCAAAGTGGCAGCTCTCTGTGTGACATCAGCCTTGAGTTTGGTGTAGAGCTGGTCAGAGGCTGTGTATTTCTCTCTGATGGGGGCTCCCTCCACCGGGCTTAATTCAAGTAACTGCGGCCCTGTCTTGTTCATCTTATCGATGTGAGGCTTGTGCTCAGCAATCAGCTCTCGCATTTGCTGGAGAAAACATCACAAAGTGGTTTAATTTCTTTCAAACTAAATATTAGTTTTACTGATCATGTTGATTTCTTACCCTGAGCTCTTCCTGTTGCTGCTTGAGTGTTTCATACTCGATGGCAGGCGGGGGCAGCTGGCTGAAGGTGCTCACAGTTTCCAGCAGCCACGGCCACATCTCCTCGTGGGTCTCCCAGAACTGCGTGGCCAGAGACTGGGCTCGCTCCAGCTGCAGACAGCGCTCCGAGTTCAGATGACTGACGACACCATACTTCTCCACGAGCGTTTGGGTCTTGGCCTGATTTAAAAACAAGCAGAACTTTTTTAGCTTATAGGCTGTTTTTGCGTAAATAAATTATTTATTGTGCTGAAACATCTATTTCACCTTCAAAGCTTCCTTCTCTTCAGAGTTTTTGGTGCTCATGATGGTTTTTCCTGTTTTCACAATCTCATCCACAATGTCTTTATGTTTCATGATGTCCATGGAGAAAATCTATAAAACCAGTGGGATGTCACAAAAGAAAACAACTGTGTTTACAATGCTTTCGTTTTAAAGGGAAGATCTGAGGCCGCGTATAAAATATCAGGCTAACCTTCTGTGCTTGCAGCTGGGCTGTGGTTTGGTCCTGCTCCAACCTGATGTCACCCATTGACAGTAACTTCCTCTCCGCCTCAGCTAGCCATGAGAGTTCAGTGTCTGCAGCCTGCTCAAACTGGGAGGAAATGTGAAGCAAAGCGCACTAAATGACAAGAAAAAGAGACAGAATTGTGAGAAAGAGTTGATGTAACAACTTGTGTGGTTTACCTGCTGCGATTTGAGAATGTCAGCGTTGATCCGGTCAACCCGCTGAGCGATGGTGTCACAGACAGCTCGGTACCGCTCGTTATCATCCGTCACCAGCTTGTCCAAACTCTCTCTGGTGTGCCACGGGATCAGATCCAGGAGTGAGCTGCTCAGTTCATTCAGCTTGTCTAACACAGGCTTTTGTTCTTTAGTTTCTTTTAGTAAGGCCTACATGAGATTAAATTGAAAAGCAAAAGCTGAGTTAGTGTTATTCTTTTTATTCAGGTGTAAAAACAGACTATTAATCTTTTTTTTTATTATTTATTTATCTTACTTTCTGCCTGTTCTGTGAATGAATCAGCTGCTTGTCGGCCGGCTCCTGGTCAGCAAACATTTTTATCTCCACCTCCGCTTTTTCTAACCAGGAGCTCAGGTTCTTATGAGTGTCCTGCATCTTGTTGGAGAGACTCAACACTCGCTCCAGGGTCTTCAAAACATTTGCACTCATCGAATTTATCTCTGCGTACTTTGTTTTTATCCCATCCAGTTTGCCTTGGATGATTACAACCTCATCACCTATGAGTATTAATGAAAAATATTAATTCAAAACAATTGGCCACTTAGCACGTACATCTTATCTGTTAATTAAAAAAAGTACAAATAAAATGCATGTGAAGCAATTAATTTTTCAGTAAACAGAGAATAAGAAGTACAGTAGTCCCTCGTTTGTCGCGGGGGATCAGTAACCTGAAGTCCCGCGATAAGTGAAAACCGCAAAGCAGGGATAGTAGTACAAGCAGTAAGTAGTAGTTTACTTTAGTACATATATATATATATATGTATAAAGGCGTTTTAAACCCTTCCCACACTCTTGCAATATTCTAAACAATGTTTCTAAACTTTAAACGCTTTAAAAGAGCACAGAATGTCATCATTTCCCTTTCTCTGCCTCTGCTGCTCTCAGCCACCTGCAAGCGTTCTTGGCAACGCCCCCTTCTCCACTCTGCACGGAGAACAGCTGATCAGCTGCAGCAGGAAGCGTATCCTGCAGTGTGGGCTGCACAAAGGTGAAGCAGGTGCTAAATAATTTGACATAATTTATCTTAAATGAAAATTACATGCTGATCGTGCAGCTCATCCATCAATCAGCCAATTGTGTGTCGCGTCCATTTTTATTTTGAAAAACGGCGATAGAGCGAGTCTGCGAAAAACGAACCGCGAAGTAGCGAGGGACTTCTGCATTCTAAATTATTTTCCAAGTATAATGCAAATTACATGTGCTGTTAAACAAATAAATAAGAGGCGTGCCTGTTGTTTGTTTCAGCAGCTCCATCCCATTTGAAATGGCCTGATCAACGTTCTTTTTCTTTGATTCAATATCACTTTGTAGTGTCTGAAAAGAAAAACCTCAGCGAGTCAGTGAAAGATGTCAAACATGCTCCAGTGTAAAACAATAAACTTCTGAAGTGAAATGAAAAATGACTGATGCAACACAAAAGAAAGAACAAAGGTTGGCCTGGAGAGGAGTGTGTACCCGCTGCTCTGTCAGCTGTTTGTCAAGAACATCTGTTTTGTAGTCCTCCAACGAAACGTCACCCAGCCTGGAGTGCACCTCATTCAGCCAATTCATGAGGGCTACTTGGTCCTCTCCGAACAGCTGGGCATTCGCCAGCGCTTGCTGCAGCATGTCGGCTTTCCTCCGGCATCGCTCCTGGAGCTCTATGTAACCGGCCTGAGCGGAGTCCAGTTTGGACTGAACAAACTCCTTGTCCTCCACCGAGCTCACCGCTTTGAGCATTTGGCCCAGACTGACGGCCTGAAACAGGTCTTTACTGTGGTTCATAATCTCCTCCTCTAAGGCCTGACCGTGAGTGATGGGGAAATGGACCAAACACAAACAAACCAAAGAAAGGAAACAGACACATAAAAACCAAAAACTACCAAATTTAACAAAAAAGAAAATGGTAACTAATGGAAAACTTAGAATAATGAGCAAAAAAAAAGTTTGACTAAAATCGACACACCATAACTGATGGCAGTAAAATGTAAAATGAAAACACACAGATGTGATGTAAACTCATTGATATTACCTTATGATGGGAGATCTGATCCTCTAACTTGGATGTCTCAGTGCCGATTGGCTCAGAGTTGATTAAATGTTTCTCTGTGGCTGCAGCCCACTCACTCAGGGGCTCCAGAGTCTCGTGGAACTGCTGAGAGACCACTAAGATGCCCTCCAGTTGCTTGTGCCTGACGCGTGTATAAAGGTATGGTTAGAAGGGGATTCAAACCAAGATAGCTATCGCTTTTTAAATGTTCAGAATATGAGGAAAGCTCTGAATTTTATTTATAAAATACAGAAATATG